CATGAATTACAAACACTGGAAAATAGAAACTGCTTGCAGTATACTATTCATAACGTCATTCATCTAAAATACAAATTCTCAACCAATGGGTGGCAAGTGGCAGTATAAACAAATCATCTAAAAAGTATCTCCCCAAAATCTGGGTTTTTAAACAGTTATGTCCCAAGGCCAAACTTTTTCTTTAAACATCTGACAAAAATTTGAAAAGCATCAGTTTCAAATGTCCAAAACGAAATCTCATAATCCGAGTTCAGGGTTTTCTTTGGTGACAAAACCCAAAGAAAGCAGTGTTAAAGACCATAAATACCACAAAACGGATTGCAAGCCACGCAGAAAGGCCTCCTGTCAGTCTCCTGGAATTTATTTTCCTCTCTCTGATTCTTCTTTATTGCATCATTTATTACAGGTCGTGGTTTTATGGGTTCTCCCACACATTTGTAGAGCATCTTAGGCAACTTCCTTTTCTTCTTTACGTCTTAATTTCATCACTGGTAGGAGAAAAACACCTACACTATGACTTTTCTTTCTGGGGCCTGAAGATAACTTTTTTTCTAAAATGAGCAGTGCTCATACCTGTGTATGTGGGAGTTTATCAGTTGGATGGCAACTATGTTTTTAAATGATTTGTCCTCAGTTTTCGATTTTTTTGTTTTTGACGGTTATTATTGATTCTACCTTGGCTCTTCGAAAGATACAAAGGGCAAATCCACCACTTCTTCTGTCTTGTTCTCCTTCATTTCCCACCTTTTACACATAGAAACAAATATGCACATGACATGATCATTTATATTAACAATGTGATCTGTCCTGTTTCCCTTTCTCCTGTACAATGTTACCAACCTAAAAAATGCCTGATCGTTTTCATTCATCTTCACTTTTAAAAATTCTTTTTAAAAGGAGTACTCTAAGATTTACCCTTTTTACCATCAGTTGACACACATCTACATTCATCCCCTTTTCCACCATCCCTACCCTGTCCCTTGTCCAACTGCTCCTATCTTGTAATCTATTCGAAACACCCTTGGCCTGCAGTCGATATCTCTGGGATTGGAGTTCTGCTTCTCCTGCTAAAAAGCTTTAGAAAAATTTCCGTTACCAAGGATTTTTAATTGAGCTCTCCACATCATTTTGACAGCTTTTTAACTGTTTAAGCAGAATCTTGGAGACTAGATGGAAAAGGAAACATGCAAATCTGTTTTGTGGGAAGCTTTCACAGCAAATGAAGACTGAAGTTTGGAATCATGGATTCTCTCCTAGCTTGTAAAATACATTACAGATACACTGAAAATTAAATTAAATTAAATTAAATTGTTTAAAATTAAATTAAACAATGTATGGGAAGAGGCTTTATAATTAAGAAAATTGAATACTAGTTTGCTTTTTGGAATCAACATTTTGGGGGCATTCAGAGTAAAATAAACTCACTGTTACTCATTTCTACAGCAACCATTACACAAGATTCAGAACAAAAATATCAACATTAATGACCTTCTGTAATGTTCATGGTACAAAACCTTAGAGAAAACCAGAACACAACTTTTAAAGGGGCTGAAAACCAACTGACAAAACACTTTCACTCTACTTTAACCAGAGCATATCAAAAATAAATTTTACCAATTCTGACTTCTTGAATGACATTAAGACTTCATCGTGTGAATTTGCTTCCCAAAGTTACATTGTTTCTCCTAGAAAACTAGAGAAACAATGTCACAATACAAAGCTAAAGAAAAATGATGTGCAAATATTGGTCTCTCCCTTCATACACCTAAGTTGTTTCTTCATACCATATTAGTAGAGATACTAGAGAAGGTTTACCGATTTCCATTTTGGAAATTCTATGTTGCAAGGGGAGAAATGGTGCTCTAATCACTTGGAAAAATCACTGCAGGAAATGACTTCTGCCCTAGAGAGTATCTGAGTCATTATAATTTCCAAGACAAAACACTGACGACAACTTTTAAATTACAGCGAGTTTAATCTACTTAAGCTAATGCAAACAGAGGGCTGGCAGAAAGAAACTATTACTCTAAAATGATTTTAATTGTCAATTTAGAGAGATCACAAGCTTTACACTCAATTCATCAAAGATGTTTAATTTTCCTATTTCATCAGAATGAACCCTTTGAAGTATACTTTTCCACTCTTGGGAGAAGATGGGGAATCACCTAATAAAGTTGAAACCCTAATTCACAACCTATGATTCAGAATTCAAACTCATTAATGTTTTGCTGCATCTGGATTCGTCTCCTCACTAGTGTCTTAAGCTTTTCTCCAAATATCTTTCACTTCACGTGGAACTCTCACTCTTGTTTTTCAGACACCACATTGTTTGAGGACATCACATCATCATCCAGGTTCTTTGCTCTCCCTGGAAACGTGTTTAGCAAGTTTTACTCACATCTGAAACCTCAGCTTCAGCATCCTTGCTCCTGAGAGTTTTGTAGCTCTTGACCTTTTAGCTGCCATCCTCTGGGAGTTTCTACCACCCTCTGTAACTTTCTGCCCTGGCACTTCCCACGCAACGTTAAAACCTTTCACCATTTTCTGGGTGCCTTCCCTGCAAACTATACACTAAAGTTTTCTGCCTGGACTTTCTTCACAGTGTCTGATGTGACTTCATGTTCACAGCACTTAGGTCGGGGAGTTGGCATTGGTAGGCATTACAGGTATCAGTTGGAGGAATATATGAAAGTGAATAACATGATCTAAAGACATTTTGTGAAACTTCAAATTATTTTACTATTTGCAAGTACTGCAATAATTGCATATTTTCTAATTTTTTTTTTTTTTTTTTTTTTTTTTTTTTTTTTTTGGTATGGCCAAACAGTTTTTTTTAAGTGGGAAAAATTGAACTTCATTTCTCTGGAAGCAAAGTAAGCAATACAGGAAGTCACTGTGATTTTCTTGTTCTCAGTAGTCATTTGAATTGTTCAGATGTTAAGCAATTATAAGCCAAGATTGTCTGCTTATAGAGAAGGATAGATGGAGAATAGTCTCCTTTAATACACCACATTCCAAGAAGGGGAGAGCTGATTTACATAAGGATCTTTGGGCTCTGGGAGATCTTCCAGTGAACCAGAGTATCACTGCAATCCTCAGGGGCCAGGAAGTAAAACAGTTTGCCTAAAATAAAACTTGATAGAAAGGTATGAGAATTGTTGAATGGACCGAGCACTGAGCTGATAGCGAGGTGTAACAGTACTGAACCAGAGAGAGCAGATACAGGACTCCACAACCAAGATTCAGGGTATATTTGCCTCTGGTAAGTGAGTAGATGAGAACCAAAGTTGTAAATCACTAGCCACTAACAGCCAGGGGATCAGGCTTTCTTCTGGCATGGAGCTACTTAATCAAGGAGTATTCCATTTGCACTGGGTATGTCTACACACGAGTGACAAAACAGAACAGGCATAGCCCACTCCTCTTTCTCTTTCCCTCCTGTGACAGGCTGTGGATTGGCTACACCATTTTCCACAGCTGTTTCCCAGGGTGGAAATTGGAAAACCAAATGTAGGACTTGACTCCCAGCATCTTGGGCAGTAAGAGTGGCTATGTGATCCAGCTCTGGGTCATGCATTTTACACAATGAAAAGTTTCCCAGGTGAATGTTGGTTTAGCCTTTGTTCTCATGAAATGAAGAAATGTATTTGGCAGCGCCCTCCCTCCTCCTTCCTATCTTATATACATGTGGACACTGGAGCTTCTGCAAGTGTCTTACAGAAGTGGATGCAAGTAATTTGGATGGAGTCACTGGACAGTGAAGGGCTCTGTTGATGTTGTGTTAGCTGCTGTCATTCGTAGGCTTCTTTTCACTTAAATAAAGCAAAACCTCATGTGCCTAAGCTACTGCTGGAGTATCTGCTACAAGGAGGTAAAAGCATGCTCAGCTGACACCATGTTCACATCTGCAGTCATACCTACCAGACACCGGGAACACGAGGTGCTACCTAGCCCCATGAGGCTGGTGGCCCTCCACAGAACTCCTAGGAGACTGCTACACAGTGCACAAGGGTCTCCTAAGGCACCATACCTCAGGATGACGAGAGGACACTGTAGGTGTAAGTAAAGATTTCAATGCCTGCTCAGTTTTAAAGTCCAGTCTTGAAGTGCAAGCCCCGCTTCAAAAAGCGACGATGGGCTATGGTTATGATCAAATGAGACAGACTCCTCTACAACCTCTCTGCTCACCTCTGCGTGCTAAACAGGAATGAAACATTTAACAGTTTAATGTTATAAATGGAAATAGAAAAAGTAATTTAATTTTTTAAATTGTATTTTCGTATAGATATTCTGAAAGAAAGAAGTGAAACATTTAGAAGTTCAAATGGAAACCCAACTGGTTCCATTTGACTAATTGGAATTTGAGGGAAGTGAAACTAGTCATTGCATTTTTATACCTATTTCCATCTTATATTATAAATACATATTTCAGATTTTTATTATTAGAATTTATCACTGTGCAAATACGAAAATCTTACAAAAGAATCAAGCTTCAAGGTGACTCATCACAGTTGAAGCCTCAACAGTGGTGAGCAGTATTTTCACCAATGAACAAAGAAAGCTGTAAAGTTTTAAATAACTCACCATATGGCTATAGATAGGGAGTCTCGATGATTCTTTTTCCTGAATTGAAAGTCCCTTCTCTAACCAGCATGCCACACACTTTTCAGTTCCCAAATGTTTCTGGATAGGCTGGTGTTCTCAGGTCTGCTTACCAAATAAAAACTTCTTTGAATGACACTTTTATTGGACTCTATTTGCAGAGATCTTCCAATAAACACTCCCCCAGAGATTTAAAGTATTTTTAGGAGTAAAAATGATCTTAGCTTCTTATAACATCTAAGTAGGGATTTAGTTACTGTTCATATTTGTCAAGACCATCTAAGGCTGGCGTGTCCTCAGAATCCTATCCCAGTAACTTTGGGGAAGTGGTTTAAATGCACGAATTACTTTCAGTACAACAAACCAAACATTCAGAAGGAATTTCATGATACCAAGAATGGGGTAGCTGGTTACACTGTATTTCAAACAAAGAAATACTTTTAACATGAGGAAAGTTAATTCTTCACAAGTAGCCTTCATAAATGTACAAGAGATCCACAAGAGAAACCGAAAAATCCAGGATGTATTTAATGTCAGGAAGTGAGTGTTTTATTTGATTAAAAGGCTGACGAGAAATTTTGCCCATTCTTAAGTCAACAGCACTGTCTGGACTATTTCACTAGACTCCAGATTCTGCATCTGTTTTCTTATAAAGCTCTTTAGGCCTATGTAAGAAGTTGACCCCAGGTTATACAAACTAAACTAAATCTTGGATAGGCTTCCATCACCACAGCTTAGTAAGAAACAAAGGCTATTTTAAGAAAATGTGAAATTACCAGCTATACTCATAATGGGTTAGAACATTAACGCTAAATGGGAGAAATATCTGAATTATCAGCTTACTCAGTAATGATGCTAGACCATTGTTTCAATGTTACATATACATACACGTGTGCATAACTTATATACATATACGTGTGCATAACTTTCAAGCAGAAAGAAGTATGGTAGATAGGAAAGATTTGTATGCTACCACCTTACTAAACAAATGTGAAGGAGAGTCAGACTTAATTACAAGGTTTGCCATTAATACACATGTTATGCAGACTTTTATCCCAAGAACATGCTGTATGCAAGGTTCCCTGACTCCAATTTCTAGGTATCATTTCATTGTTGACATCAGATTAATTGCATCATGGACAGACAGCATGCTGTGCATGATTTTAATCCTTTTAACAATTAGAGACTTGCCTTGTAGCCCTATATGTCGACCTTTATAAATGTTCTGTGAGCTTGAAAAAAGTGTGTATTCAGCAGCCATGGGAGACGACAGATCAACTTTATTAATGACACTGTTAAAATCTTCCATAACTTCCCTCAATTACTTAAAAACCTAGTGTGACCTGTCGACTACTTTTACTTCATAAACCTGATATTACATTATTATTTAAGCTATTGTAACTTATTGCTAAACTTATGACTTTTTTTTTGTAATGGGTATCTAACTCACTATCTTGCTCTTGCCAGGCAGATACTTATGCCACTGAGCTCAATCCCCAGCCCAACATGACTCTCTTTAATAATGGTTTTTACTTAATATGTATCTTATTTGACATTAAGACTTATCTGACTTTTTTTTGGTGCCGAGAATTGAACCCAGGGCCTTGTGCTTGCCAGGCAGGCACTGTGCCACTGAGCTGTATCTCCAACCCTGACAAGCTTTCTTAGAAAATTGCATGGTGTATCTTTTACCTGATCTTTCATTTTAAATTTCCTTGTATACTTAACATAAATCCCCTATAAATGCTACATAATTGACATTTTAAGTCATGCCTGGCAGAGTTTTAACTGGGATATTTGATCTATTTGTACGTATTCACTAATACCTCAAACTAAACTGTTCTCAGTTTTACACTATTTGACCTGTACATTCTGTTTTCAGTTAATTTTCTTTCCTTGCCTTCTTTTGTCTCATTATTTTTTGTACCTGAAAAATTTCCCCTTGGTTTGATGGTTTTCAATTCTTTTAGTGAATAACTTAAAAATTGTAAAATTCTTATTTATGGAAACCTAGAGTCCATCAGTAACTTTGTATCTTTTTTTTCAGGGAAATTAAGAGCACATGCACCATTGACTCTTCTTCCTACACTGTCAGTGTGTGTGTTTTGTTCTTTGCTTTTAAAATCCACTAGGCATTGTCACACACTATTAACATTCATCCAGATTTATCCACATACTTACCACTTCGTTCAAATCTTAGCTTTCTGTGGCTATCACTAAGCTCCAGTTATTTTAGCTAATGGTTCTAAGTCCAGAGAATGGTGCCAACATCTGTGTGGCATCTATCTGGTGAGGGCCATGGTGGAAAGCATCATCAATTACATGGTAAAATAGAGCAAGTAAGCCAGAGACTAAGAGCTTACTTTCACAACAAAGCCACTTCTGTGATAACTCATTAACGCACTGGTGTACACCCCCATGGATGGAGCGAGCCTTCCTGAGGCCTAATGTCCCTCCTTTTAGTATATTACAATGGACACTTAGTGAGTGCTGGTGGAGACAGGTACGCCATTGCAAATCTCTATTCCCTTGCTTCTTTTCTGTTCTCTTTCTTTAATCATGAAGTCTGTCTCAAAAGTTCTTGTTTTGTTGATGGCAACTGTTTTGGTTGTTCTAAAATGTCTTTATCCTGTTTTTTTTTTTTCTTGAAAAAATATCTTCACTGGATTTAAAACTCCGTCGATAGCTTTGTTTCCTTTTTCTTTTAGCCTGTTAAAATCACTGCGGTCTTCTGGTTCAGCAGTTTCAAACTGTCACTTCTTTGAATGTAATTTTTTTTACTCTTGAACTTCCTAAGACTTTATCTGCATTTAATGTTTGTATTTTAGTTATGTGTCAAGTTTGCATTTGTTTTTATTTAATCTTTATTTATAAGCTTCCTGAATTTGTGAGTTGGTATCTTGCACTGTTCTGGTAAATTCTGTTAACTGTCCTTTCCTCTGGCTTGTTTCTGTCCTGAGCCACCTTTCCAAAACTGTTGCACATGTTAACCTTTATTACTGTCTCCCAGAAGAGTTTATTTCTTATGATTTTTCTGGTGATTAATTTTGATTATCAGCTTCATTAAACTGAGCACACTTGTAGGTATATCTAAGGGTGTTTCCAGAGATGTCTGGCCTGTGGGTCAGAGAACTCAGTGGAGAAGATCTCTGTGTAAATATGGGTGACACTCTGCCACAGGCCGGGCACTGGCTAGGACACAAAATCAGCAGGGGCAAGCTCTTGAACACAGGCATGCTGGACTTCTTAGGGGATACGGCCTGCGCTGGTGCTTTCACCCATGGGTGACAGACTCCAGATTCTTCAGCCATTGAATTTGAATCTGGCCCAGTCTCTGGGAGGTTTCCAGGCCTTTCAGCCTCACACTAAAGGTGCACCATTGATTTCCCTTGTTCTGAAACTTCGGGCTTCTTGGACTGAGTAGCTAACAGTTCTCCCAGCTCTTCAGCCTACCCCAAGGGCCAGTATGGCCTAGTGAGCCTCTTGATTATAGAAACTGATGTGAGACACAGATAGAGATTTTTTTTTCTATTTACTCTGTTTTTCTAGAGTATCTAAATCATTTGTTCTTGGCATATTCTGAATAATTTCCAGGATCTAACTTTCTGTTACCTCCCTCTTTTCGGCTGTGTCTAATTTGAATTTTAATTATTGTACTGTTTGGTTCTTTTCTGTATCAAGCTGCTGACTTTGGGGGCCGGATAACTCTGTTACGGGGGAGTCCAATGCAGGGTGTTCAGCAGCACCCCTTGCTCCTACCCATTGGGCACCAGCTGCACCTACCTCATCATGACATCCAAACTGTCAACAATGCCAAATATCCCACAGAAGCAAAAGTACCCCCTTGTTAATAAGTGCTGGTTAAAATACCATGACTACAAGAAAACAGATGTAACCACCAGCTGTGTGACATGGCTACAACTCAGTTAAATTAATTATACCAGTTTCTGTGTAATTAATGGGGCACTGAGCTTTCCAACACAGTATCACGCAGCATGAGTGAGCAAAGAGCTATTGAAACACAGCTACTTCACACTGAGAAACGTTACTGAGTGTAAAATATGCCTGCATTTTGAAGAGTTGGTATGAAAAAAAAGGAAAGGAAGCATCTCAATAATTTTTACATTAATTGGGTAAGATACATTTTTTAAATAAATTTCATCTCTCAAATTACAGCCCCAAGAAATCAGCTTACTTTTGAACATCATAGCTCTTTATGAGGCCTAAGCGATTTTTCTGTTTCTTTAAACCAGTTATTTCTATTCCAATGCTTTATTCTCAGTGTTTCCACTGGTTCTTTTCTGACTGCCAGTTTGTCTTCATGTTGCTCTTTATCACTCTCCTGTGTATCTGTTTCCTTCATGCACCCTGGCGCTTTTCCCGTGGAATGCTGAGCTGTGGCAGCGTCCATCATACTTAGGAAGTCATAAGCCGGAAGAGGAGGTTTCCATTCCTGAGCAGATAAAATTGCTAGAAGACACAATCAAGGGTTAATGAATAACATTTACAATGCTATCACATGAATATATAAGCGATGCTTTTTTTTGAAATATATATTTGTAGGCAATGAAGATTTTAGTTTTACTTATCTAAGCAAAGCTAGACTCTTTTTAGTGTCACTAAGAACTACATATATTTGTCCCAACTCTCCACAATGAGTGTAATCACGATATTCTGCAAACACGTACTAATAAAAATTTCTAACATTTAAGTATGTATCATCACTAGCTATTTCTGATTTTTAATTACAAATTATTTTCTACATCGAGATAAATTTTGATAGAGAAAAAAGGATCTATCATTTTACTGCCAATTAATCTTTACTTGTTAGGGTTTTTAAAACTAACATTACATATAAACAGGCCTAAGTTTGAATGAAAAGTCTCCTACCTGCCTCCCTACTCCAATCTTAAAATATTTAACTATTCCCTACAAATTATTCCAGAAGATTTAACAATCTGGTACACAATAAAATATTTGTGTAGTATTTTATAAGATTTTTGTTATGTCAAATTTCACACTATTTGTCTGGTATAATAATAATCTAAGTTTGCCATGTGTTTACTTATTTAAATTAAATGCTTAATTGTTACCACAATTGTATAAAAATGGCTAATACACAAATATAAATTAACATACATGTCCTATACTGAAGTATAAATTTCTGTGTTTTCAGAAAAGTAGAGATTATAAAGTCAGAATCCAGAATCATAGATTCTCAGCAATATCTCTTTTTTTGTGTTTCAAAATTTTGGTTCTGTTCAAATTAGAAAGAAAGTAATTAAACTTTTTACTTACAAAAGACATGATCTTTTTAAAAAAACCCTAAAGACTTCACCAAAACAACTCTCATAATAAATACATTCCGTTTAGTTGCAGAACACCAAATTGACATAACAATCGATAGCGTTTTCATATGGTAACATAAACCAACTGAAAAAAAATCTCAATAGCATGTAAAAAGAAAATGTTTAGGAATAAATTTAGCTAGGGAAGTGAAAACACCACATACTGAAAATTTTAAAATACTGATGAAGGAAACTGAAGGAAAAAAGGAAAAAAAAACCCCTGCTTATGGTTAGAAAAATTCAATGCTCCAGTGTCTGCATTGCCCAAAGCAATCTACAGATCTGAAGCACATGTATTAAAATCCCAATGTTTTCAAGAGAAAACATTCCTAAAATTCATTTAGCCAAAGCAATCATTAGTAAAAAAGAATGAAGCTACATGACTTTAAAATGTATTACACAAAGTTCCAATAAACACAATAGCAGGCTAGTTCATAAAGACAGACACATGGTTCAGTGGAATACAACAGAGACCTAAAGTAAGTGCACTTATTTAATCTCTACGTATCTTAAACAAAAGTACCACAAACACTCAACTGAGAAAGTCTTTAGTACGTTCAGTGTTGGGTTCAATTCATGTTGTAATCACATTTAAGAACAAGTTAGACACTTAGCAGACCCCATCTACAAAAGATCAACTCAAAACTGATTAAAGTCTTAAATTACCAGAAGAAAACAAATGGAAAGAGCCTCCTGAAATTGGTTTTTGCAATTACGGGGATTTTTAAAAAAAATATGATCCAGAAGCACGAACAACAAAAACAAGGCTAGACCAATGGGACTGTTTTTATCAAAGGCAAAAGCTTCTGCATTGCAAAAGAAGTAAGAGTGGACGAACTACAGAATGGGAGAAAATATCTGCAAACCACACATATGATAGGGGTGAATATCTGAAATATATAAGCAAATCAACAGCAATGAAACAAAGCAAAACAACCCAAATAACCCAACTAAAAAACAAGCAAAGACCTTAACACTTTTCCACAATGAGCTGTCATACCTGGAAGAATAAATTTTATGAAAAGGACAAAAAGCAAGTGTTGGTAAGAATGTGGATAAAAGGAAACCCTTGTATTCTATGGGTGGGAATGTAAATTAGTAAAACTATTATGGAAAATAGTACAGAAATTCTTTTAAAAGTTAAAAAATAGATCTTCTATATGATCCAGCAATTCTACTTCTGGGTTCATATCCAAAGAAATTAAAAATTAATATGTCAAAGAGACACATGCATTCCAAGTTCATTGCTTCATTATGAATAGCCAAGACATGATGAAATCAACCTGTATCCAACAAAGGATGAATGGATAACAGGCTGTAGAATAATCTACAAAAGAATGCTATTCTGCCTTTAAAAAGAAGGACAGGACTGTCATTTGCAACAATCTGAATGAATCCAAAGGATATTATGGTTAGTAACACAAGCCAAGCACAAAAAGACAAATGCTTCATGATCTCACTCATAAAGATGTTAATCTAAAATAATCAGACTCAGAGTATGAGGGTAGTTGCCAAAGGCAGGGCATGGGGCAGGGCAAAGAATAGAGAGATGTTGGCACAACAGTATCAAATTGGTTGGAGAGGAGAAATAATTTTTGGAGATCTGTCAAATAGCATGGTGATGACAATAAATAATAATGTATTATATATGTGAACAATTTTAATAGAGTAGATTTTGAATGCTCTCATTACAAGGAAATGATATGTATCTGACAGGCATGTTAACTAGCTAGATTTCATCTTTCCACAATATGTACATACATCACAACATGTTGTACAACATAAGTATACAGTTTCTCATGTGACAATTAAAATTTCTGGTTCTAAGGCTAGACTCCAAGCTTCCTGGTTTGTTGGTTAATTATTACTTTCTTCTAGTTTCTTTGTTTGCTCTTCTATGGGTAATTTTTCATATGATTCTCATGAGAATTAAATAATTGATGATAAGTCACAGCATTGTGGTGTGGTAGACACTTTGTAAACATTCTATAAACATTAGCTCTTATTAAATTTAACTGAAATAATAAAGTGGTACTTACTTTCTGTGGGTAATACCTACTTTGTGTGGCTTTGTGTGTAGACTAAAGTAATTAACAAGTTTGTTAGCTGTTATCGTAAAATAATACTTATGAAAATACTGTTTCATTAAACAGAAATGCTTTTCTCAAACATTTATGTATACAGATTAGATATAATAACTCTGGAGTTTAAGTAAAATCACTGCAAACTTGGTTATCACCTGATAGTACTGGTGACTACACAGACTATCTCAATTACTTGATTAGAAAGTCAATAAAAAGCAACATTATACATTTGATAATGTTATAGTTTAGATAAAAGCCTCATATATAGAAGTGGACTATTGGAATCATAACTGATCATAAGGGCTCTAACTTCATAAGCAGATGAATGGATTAATCAATCTGCTGATAAATCTGTCTTAATTACTTTTCCCGTTGCTCAGGTAACATACCCAATACCTACAGGCTAGAGGAGGAAAAGTTTATTTTAGTTCATGGTTTGCAGAGGTGTCAGTCCATAGTCGGCTCGCTCCAAGGAAGGGTGGTGTGGCAGAGTGGCATCATAGAGGAAAAACGGTCCATCACATGGCAAGCAGAAAACATCAAGCCTTCTTAGACTTTTATTTCATCCATGCTACAAGCCTGCTGGATGATACCATCCACATCCATTATCCATATCTAGAATTGTGCTAAACCAATCAGTGGGCTAATTCAGTGATCATTCCCTTAATCTGTATTCACCTATCCTTGGTCCAGCCACCTCTGAAAAACCTAGACTTTTAGTGCATTAGGCTTGGGGGGGGGGACATTTAGATACAAGCCATAGCAGCATCCATAATTTAATAGCATCACTAGAAAGTGAGAGTGGGTCATGAAGGCGTGATGTTGGGGACTGTATTTTGTCTGTGGTTCATTCCTTCCTGGCTCTTTCCTATTTTCCAGCTGCCATGAGGTGAGCAGCTTAGCTCTACCAGGCACTTCCGCCATGATGTTCTGCCTCACTCACAGAGCAGGTGGATCATGCACTAGTGACTGTGGACCATGAATCTCTGCAGCTGTAAGTGAAAGTTCAACTTTCCTTTTTAAAGCTGTTTATAAACTAACACACAGATTAGGTAATGTGGTTAAGAGTAAGGGCTCTGGAGTCAGACTGTTTGGTGCAAACCCCTGCTTTAGTATTTATTAATTAAATAACCTTGGACAAGTTACTTAACCTCTGTCACAATTTTTTATTTGAAAAAAAAAAGACTATAATGACAACATCCAGAACTCTTAGGTTGTTGTGAGACTAAAACATCTAATCCTTGAAATATATACAGCACCATGCCTAGAAAAGAGCACATGCTCAATATATATTTTTATTCCACCAGTAACTTTCTATATAGTAACTGGCCTATAATGTAAAGGCCAACTCACTGAACAACAAAAGCAATAATAAGTATTGAAGGAAAAACTAAGAGGAAACTTCAGTTGGACATATACATTGTTAGGATATTTAGAATCAATTTTTACATAAAATGTTTTCATTTCTGCAAACCGTGTATTGCTTATAGCTATAGGAAAAAAACTGGCATGCATATAAGAAAGCAACCTGGAACTCTCTGGTGACATGTATGATTTGAAGTTTTCTAAGTAGCACAAAGGACTCATGCTTCAGGAGGTCAGTGTTCCCACTAAAACAGCTTGTTAAACTATAAAAATCACATGCTTGAAGATACAATCTACAGAAGCAATGTGGACTTGAGGAATTAAAATTCAAAAGAAGAAAGCAGCCTTAGTAGACAAGCTGACTGTTTTCAACTGTCCCCCACAGAGTTTTTGCCCTTCAGGCCACAAGACTCTGTCACAGGCAACACTGTCACCATAACCATGACAGTCCAAATCCTCCTAGCGTTCACTTTACATCTATCCAACAAAACTGTGTGTCTTAAGAGAAAACTTACTGATAGGATTTTCTAGTCCTGCTTCTAACTTCTTAAGCCACAACGCAAGGTTTTGTTCGGTTATGGACCGATCTGAAGGAAACGCAAAAACTTGGCCGCTTGAATGCAGATTCACCAAAGCCAAAAGAGGAAGAGGAGGCAGAAGGCCGAAATAGGCCTGCAATATTCCTCTCCCCACGGGCGTATTCTTACTACGAGAGGAGACAAGTCAAACAAGTTAATTAGTGGTTTTGCTCTGATAAAAAATGAAAATCATAGTTTATGAAACACTGAAGTTTTCATTGGTCTCATGTCAGTAATATGCTTTTTATATTATGAAAAGATATCCTAAAAATTCTATAACGATGTTGTTAGCAGTCAAATTTTAAAAAGTTTTCTAACTTAGGCACTCTGTGTTCTAAGAGAAAATGAGGCAGCCACTAGCCATTTTTTATGAAAAGTACACATAGCCCAAAAAGCTTCTCAGCACAGCTTTGACATAAGCGATCAGTTTCTTCCATGTTTTAATGAAGTACCTGTTTGTGTCAGCTAAAAAACAAATCGGTTATACTAAAAAACTAATCAGTTACATACCTATAATAGGATATTTATTTATATAAATACAACTTTTCCAAATAAAGTTGTGCCTTTGCTCAGGAAATAGAAGAGATTCTTTGCAAATTAAAGAAATGAAAAATAATTATGTTCCTACAAAGAAACCCGTTAAAGTTACCTAGTGTTCCTAAGGTAGCACATTCCACATTATGCAAAATACCACTATTAGATAACCTATAAATGATAATCACCTGGGAAAACTGTCTCCAGCAGGGAGCTGTTAAACTTCAGGCAAACTGTACACTGCCCCATTTTTGTAATTTTCAAAAATCAGAAAAATTACTACTTTTGAACTTTTACTGTAGAATAAGATGCAGTCCAAAAAACCAAGATCATCTTGGATGTTACCTATAGTTAGGTTTAGTAACCTTTAGTTACTAAAATACCATGAAAATGTGTTTGGTCTCATATTGACCCCTAACATAGAGTTACAGAGTATCATTTCCTAACGAAAATACATTTACATATGAGACAAAGTGAAGCAGACTTACAGATTTAGCCAGCAAGGAGTAAATGAATCCAAGCGTTTCTGTTCCACTAGTGTCAACATTGCTTTTCTATACTGAGGATTTATGCTGCCATCACTGAACAAAATAAGTAACGGTTTCTGAAGTCTGAAATAATTAGGAAGATTTTCCACAGTGATTTCTGGCTGTTTCAAGAGAAGGACCAAAACAAACCAGAATAAAAAAAGAAAAAAAAGAAAGAAAACAAAAAGAAAAATAAAAAACATAGAAATTATGATGCACAAAATAGAAAACAACATTCAAATCACTCCTACAATTTCAGTTCATAAAATGTAATTCAAATATGTTTCCATTTAAATAGAAATTTACCATGCTAATAACTAGAAATCTCAAGAGTTTCTTATTCAATCCCACCTCACCTTAATGAGTTTTTGAAATAAAATTACTAATACACTTTGAGAATAAATTAATATTCCTACTAACTGCTCATGCCAATATCTAGACCAGGTTAACAAACTTATACATGACTAACAAGAAACCCTATTGTACATTTTTATCCTAATAAAATTTGAGTAAAACTACAAGCAGAAATTTAAAAATATAATCTTCTGATAGTTCTATGATTACTTAAAAATTAACTAAAATTTACCTTTTTCAACATTGTAGATATGTTGGCATAAAGATATCTAAAGAAAATCCAAAAACCAATCTCACTTCTTTTGAGATTAAAATAAGAGAAATTTAACAAGGAATTAAAAATCTAATCCTCTTGTCATTTTATTATTAACAAAAAGATAGTAACTATTTTAAATATATATTTATAGAAGACAATGTCTAAGCTGTTAGTATTTAGAATAAGAAAGAGCAAAAAACTAGAATTTCAAACAGCAATGACTCATAATAGTAAATCTACCATGCTCCAAATTTAGTTTCACATCTACTGTTTCACTTGTGGACTGAAACAAATCATGCCCTGTCAAATGCACAGAGAGGGCAACTTGCTATAAAGTAAGGTAAGGGAACTCATGAGTCCTTTTAGGAAGTGATATTTGGGCTGGACCTTGATTAAAGAACATGATCTTTCCAGAATGAGGTGTGTACTTGATTGGGGATTTGAAATATAGAGACTATTGTAACGACAGGAAGAGAGCTATTCAAACATAAAGAATATTGGGAATCAGTACAGTGAAGGAGGCCACACTTAGGAACCAAGAGACAAAAGCAGCTGTGAGACCAGATGGGTAAGGCTTTGACAGCTTTCCTAACTTGTGGGAACACAGACAGGAACTTTTATCAGATTGGTGAGGTGGATAGCACTGTTTCCAGAAAGACAACCAACTGGAAGGTGAATTTGGAAAAGATCAGTGATGGACACTGCTCTTTCCTGGATCTGTCAGAAAAGAGCAGGACCTTTAAAAGACAAAACACTCATCAAGAGGAAACTGGTTAAGTTATGGAACATTAGCATAACAGAGTATTATGCAGATATTAAAAACTAATATGCATACATATACCTTAATAAAAATTACATATAAGACATGTATAATTTTTTTAAGTTTGGGGAAATATATTGCCAAACTTAAATTTTAAGAAATTGTGATTGATTCTACTTTTTCCTTACCATTTTCCATATTATCTGAAAAAAATTCTAAAATTACTACACTATATATATGTGTACATATGTTAAGGGAATCTTTACCTAATAGTGTCATTAAAAACCATGTTCGCTATCTATTGTAATACACACCTGTAATCCTAGCAGTCTGTAAGGCAGAGGTAGGAGGATCACATATTTTGAGCCCAATCTGGGCAATTTAAAGACTTAGCCAGACCTTGTCTCAAAATGAAAAATAGAAAAGGGCTGAGTTAACTCAGTGTAAAGGCCATGGGTTCAACCCCAAGTACCACTGGAAAGAGGATTACTGTAGTAAATAGCTTAGAAAACTATATCCTGAAAATACTAACATGGTAATTTAATTAATCATAACCAGTGACTTTGATGAAGAGGGAGAGAGGATAGAATCAAGATTATGAGGAGACTTCTTCAAGACTACAGACATTCATTTGAGCCCTAAAAGTATTCACATTCAGGTCAAGTCAAGAAACACAATAATGGGAGAATATTTGTTCCTTCTGTCCTGTTAGAAGGGTAGAAGAACAAAGTTAAAATACGCTAGCTATGTTTAATACGAAACAACTGAAATCAATCATCTAGGTTGTACCTGCATGACCTTGAATCCACTCGTATATAAAGCCTTAGAAGAGGCCTTTCATTTTAGAAAGCATTTTAAAACTATATAAATAATAATGATAGCTAACATTTGCTGAATATTTGCGACAGGCCAAATGCTATAGACAAGCAGCACACATCACACTGTCTTTAGGCCTCATGCGAATTCTTTGCAGCAGGTGCTACTATGACGTGCCATTTTACACATGTGGAAACTCAGATCAGGAGCAGAAAGGTGCTGGACAGCCAGTAAGAAACTAAGCAAGGCACTGGAGCCAGGCAGCTGACCTTCTGCGAAACACTTGCTTTATAACGAGCTTCCCCCTAGATTCAATCCTTGAACTGAACTCCAGCCACTGTGGTTTCAGCAAGACAGGAGAATCCGTGGCAAGGACTAGAAAAGATGGATGTATCATCAGTGAACAGCCAAACAGAGCAACCCAGTGCCCTATGCCATCAAAGGCTGGAAAACTGCATACCAGCTGAGCAAGATTTCATTTCAAATAACATCCTTTTTATAAAGTACACTCACGAAGGCTTCCCGTGACGCATCTGTTATTATCTGCACTATGTCTTGTGTGTGGGTGCCAGCCAGTGGAATGCTCTCTATCTTGTCATCTTTGTGTCTGGCAAGCAGCAGGGCTGGCAGAGTCACAGCATATTTATTTGCCCTATGGAGAAATGCAGTATTAAAATTCACAACCAAAATACAGCAAGTCATCAGAAACATTGAAAAAAAAAAATCAGGCCAAAAAGTCACAGCAACTGGAAAGCCCTACTGCTGGAGAGAAAAAAATAGTTTCCAGGCAATTTTATCTTTTATATGAGGCTGAGGAAGTTCAAGAGCTGACAATCTTTAATAAAAGAAAACGACAGGTAGTAATCTAGCCAGATCTTATCCCCCCACCACCACCACTTACTCATCCTACCTGTGTCTAAATAAGATTTGGAACACAGTGAATGACTCTAGGGCCAATCTTTTTGGTGTTAAGAAGATGGGGACCCAGGAGGAACACCCTGACTGCCAGGTACTACACTACCTATCCTGGTTATGCTTCCTTTAACCCTCAGAACTTCCCTATTAAGTATCCTCCACAGTTCTGTTTTACAGATGAAGAAATAGAATTCTGAATTTAAATGAAGTACTCCAGACACAGGGTGTGTGCTCTCTCTATAGACAAGAAACCCACATCTGCCCTCCCACCACTTTTGCTAACTAAACCTGAAAGAAAATGCCCTGAATTAAACAGAAAAAATTCTTTGTGTGGAATTACCAGTGAGGTGCTCACAGGTGTAAAACCCTTGCTTTTACCAGAACAGAGTATCTGGCTTTAAAATAATTCAAGGGCTGCAGCAGGTCCAGTGTTCCCATCACTCGGGGGAGCCCCTTAGTTGGCTGGTAATAAACAAGACACCCTGAAACCTACCATTCTGGCTCTTCAGGCCATAGTTAAATATGCACCGACAGCAGAAAACAGTAGGTGATTTTATACTGTGAAATGGATAGGTCTCATATCTGCAGGTTTAGTATGTGCATTTCAAAAATGACTGCTTTCACCAAATGAACAAAAGTCTCATCATCAAGAGCAATGTTCAACAAGAAAGATTTAAACTCAGAAATTACAATCACGAATTTTACAGTAAGAAGGTCAGAAAAACTACAAGCACTTAACAAGTCCATTTGCATGTTAAAATAAGCCTCTACTGCAGACTGGTTTTTGTATCACTAACAGTTTCCAAATTCACAGTCCAGTCCTTTATTCTGCAACTAAAATACTTCGGTACTCACAGCTGCCCATCTTCCACAAAGCAACTTAAGTGGCTGAAAAAATGCTGATTTTTGTGAATATGTATTTTGGTAGCAAATATAAACTGAGATGCTTAAGAAATAAAATTTTCAAAAATTTTCCAGAACTATCAAGGCTCCACCAAAACTGCAGGGAACAGAACTAAAAGAAAATTTTTATAAGAGAATAAAGAGCTATGAAGCCAAGATGACCCCAGTTCTGGATCAAAGTGAAAGAATATTTAAAGAGTCTAAATAGTGTAGCACTTCTCAGATCTTCCTAAGAAGAAAACTAAACATTTATTTATGCTGCTGTTCTATCTTCCTAAGTCAGCTGTGTAAAGACAATCAACACATTATATTGCATAGCTTCTTCCTCCCTCAAATTAGAAAAGCAATAAACTTACAGTATCCAAACATCTTCTTCAGAATAAATTCCAGTGAGGACGCCTCCTTTTAAGTAGTTTCCTGCTTCAGTGAAATCTTCTTTTGCTATAAATACACAGACATGACCAACTCTGAAACCATTAATTATCAACTGATAAACAGGTTTATAAATGGTAGCATTTTGTTATTATTTAATTATTACAAAGATAAACATTTAAGTATAAATGTATTATATTAATGGTTTTAAAATAAATCAGAGCAGTTTTAAAATACATCTGTGTTATGACATCAGATTATGAAAGAAATGTAAATTGATAAAATGTAACAAGGCTTCCTAAACAAATGATTTCTAAAAGTTATTTATAAAGTTTATGGCACTCTGGTCATAAATAAAGAGTGACTAAACATGTATTTGTTGTTTTTTAAATTTACTCCTAAGAAAGGGTCAATGAAGACAGCTGTGAAACACTGTACATTACAGTTACAAAATATAAAGATGCCTTATGCAAAAAAAGTCCTGAAGTTCTAGACTTTTAAATAGTGTGTTAGGTTTTTCACTTATGAAGAATTTGTTTCTTATTTTCTGTACTTTCTGTAATGTATTTTTGCTACTTTTGAACTTTGACTTGTATGTGTATCTACCTTTTTCCCTTATTAGGACAGGCATATTCAAAATTAAAACTATTATTTCTATAGCTTTCTAAACATAATATGTTTTCACAAATGATGGCATCTCATGGGTCACGTGAATGATTATCTTACAACCAAGAAGCAAATTTGAATTAAAGTACTGTGGAGCAATGAGAAAAGAGCAGAGGTGGGTGTACAGGTAAATGAAGTATTCTTGCCCCATGAAGGCCACCTGGTCAGCTCCAAGCACAGCGCAGGCAGTGGCTCAAGCAGAAAAAGTGAATGGAAGAAGTCAGCTTTAAAGCAGCTGCTGAGGCAGGCATGCTGCACCCACGAGCTGCATCCTAGCATCAGCACGGTACTTTGGGGTAACATCAGCACTGTCTTCATCGGGTAACCACAGTGTTTTTTTAAAGGGTGCACTCTGAATCCTGTGCACTCTGCACAGGATTCAGAAGCATGGTCTGCAGGAAAGCAAACTTACCAGAGCAACTCAGCCCACAGGCAGCTTGTGAGCTCATTTATAACCGTATGTTTAGTAAGAAGCTAATAACCCATTAAAAGTATTTTTAGACTGTGATTTCCAAAATAGAAAAGACACATAAGAAAATAAGCAACTAAAAAAGAAGAGAATGCCTATACTTTTACTTCTAAGAGAAAACAGAGCTAAATTCTAAATCAGTGACATAATGGAATATGTGTCAGCTTCTCTTCTTTATTAAGCAGCAGCAGTGGAAAACATATCAATATTCTTGTATAATTTTCTCATATGGAAGCCTACTTTTGAATATGCTTCCTCATAAATCCCCGTGATTATCCTGTGTATTCTAAGTGACTTGTGGGATGGGAAAGTATAAAGATGCAGGCCTCATGTACACATTCATTTCCACTAAATCAGAGTGTGTATTTTCCTCCAAACATTCAAAACTAGGCATATTCTTCACTTCCATGATGAAAACCGTGTATTGTGAGAATACATAGCATTCTCAATTACAAGGAGTTCGGTTATCTAAATAAAAAGATGGAGAAATCTTTTGCTTCCAGAAATACATTTGGGATGGATATAAATGATGACTTGTCCCAGTTCCTCAGGAGATTGAGGTAGGAGGGTTATTCAGCCACGTAGTTTACAACTAATCTGGGTGACATAGTAAGACTGCTCCTGTACCTCCTGCCCCCATCTCGCAGCAAAAACATAAAAGGGACTAAGGGTATAGCTCAGTGGTAGAGCACCAGACTACTATGCACACAGCCCAGGGTTCAATCCCCAGTGGGGGAAAACCCATAAATATATTGTAATTACACAAATATGTTCATTTAGCAATACTGCATTTCCATTACATATAATTATATGCATATAACTGCATTTATAACCACACATATGTGTATGTGAGAATTCTGTGTCAGTGGAGAATTGAGAAATAAAACATGTCAGTAGCTACTCTTAACCACTAGATTTTGGTTTCCAAACTCAATTTCCCACTTAAGGAACCTGGACTTCTTGGAGAAGTGACTGGTTCCTGGAATATGGCTGAAAACATCTCATATCAAAAGAACAGATTTAAAGAATGGTGGAAACATGTCAAAAGGACACAGAGGTCAGACTGAATAGGTTCCCGGGATCCCAATCAGGAGCAATACGAATAAACTAATGGCAACAACTGACTATAACCCATTGAAGAAAATAAGAAGGCATGCCATGGGGTGCATGCCTGTAATCCCATAACTCTGGGAGGCAGGAAGGTCACAGGGTTAAGCCCAGCTTGGACAATTTAACTACTTGGCAAAATTCTGCTTTAAAATAAAAAAATAAATTATAAAAGACCTGGGGATGTTATTCAATGTGAAGACTCTGTGTTCCATGCCAGTATCACAAAAAAATAAAGAAATAAATATTCAGAAGTCCATAACTGATACACATGAAGAAAATCCTTTTTTATAGTAAGATACCAATGAACAAATGAAGGAATGGTGGAACTAGTTAAGATTTGGTTGGCCACTGTTATGGTTTATATTCACATGTCTCCCCCGCTCCCTTCAGAGGCAAGGGCTTTTGGCAGGTGAATGGATTATGGGGGTGCTATAGCTGACTTCATGTTGGGAGGCAGGGCCTGGCCACAAGAGGTGAGGGTCACTGTGGGATGACCTGGTGGGATTTATCTCCCTCCCTGGCTCCTCCGTTTTAGCTCTGCTTCCTAGCTGTCACGAGGTGAGCAGCTTTTTTCCACTTGGCCCTTCTATCATCCTGACAACCATGCAAGGACTGACACTTCTAAAACGTGAGCTGTTAGGTCTTGTGTCTAGTTGACCCCCAAAGCCTCATGCAGTCCTAGGTGAGGCTTTTTCAGAGGCTGGGGTGTGTGAGATGCCGGGATTCTTTCACTGTTCAATGCCAGGGTCAAGGGCACTACGATTAAGGCTGTGAATGCTACTCACCTTAGCCAGGATAAAATATAAAACACAGAAAGAAATGCGGTCACCCCATTCTTGCTTTGCTACCTTCTGCCTGCCATGAGCTGTTTCTCCTCTGTGATGCTTGTTTGCCATGTCAACCTGCCTTGGAGCCAGCCAATTATGGACTGAAACCTCTACAAACAGTGAGCTAAATAAACCTTTCATCTTTTAATTCCAGGTGTTGAGCATTTTGTCTTATCAACAAGAAAACTAAGATATGATTAAAAATAAGTCTCTCCTCCATTAAGTTGTGGGTGTCAAATATTTTATCCCAGAACAAGGAAAGTGACTAAGGCAGCAACCATCATGCTAATAGCTTTTTTATTTTTTTTTCAGGTAAGGGATTCTAAAACTGGTTTGTAATACAAAAGTGTGGTAACGAGCAGCTCTCCTACAGAGTTTTAAACTTCTCTCTCATGGGACACTTAATTAATTACAATGGAAAAGACAGTAACTTTTCAGCAGATAGAGAAGTGAATAAAAGAGGTATTTCTGCCCTCTTGGACCTAACATTGTTCTTCTTCAAACCATTAGAATGAATCTTAATAAATAAATCAACATCTGATACAAAAGAAGTACTCAATAAATGTTAGTAGGCAGCATGTATTTGTAAGACACAGCTTTACAACAAATGTTAATGAGTTCGTAGCAGCTTTTCATCATTGCACACTTTCATTCAACAGATGTTGATAGTCCAACTACTATCAGGCAACTGTCTATAAAAAAGGTAAATAAATAAACCTAAAGAAATAAAAAGGAATAAACGCCTCCCTGAAAAGGCTGAGAACAACCAACCCAATGAAATTATTTAAAGAGATGGACAGGGGTTTAGTTCAGTGGCGTAAGTACCTGCCTGACAAGCATGAGGTGGTAATTTTGATCCCTGGTACCAAAACAAACAAACAAACAAAAGAATAAATATCAAGAACGTGTCACTTTAGCATATCAGACGTGCTTCTACATAGTTCAACTTTAGGCTTTTGAGGGGAAATACGATTAAATTTTCTATTTCTTATGCTGATCTCCTATATAAAAACAGTATGAAAAATTCTTTCCATTGTTTCTAAATTAGCAAAACATTTTCTGTGTAGAGTCTAATCTGTATGTTACAGTTTATTATATAATGATGATAAGACAGTAAAAATTTCATCTTTCTGTTTCTAGTTGCTACCAGATTACTTAGGGCTAAACTTTGACCAACTGCTGTGTTTTCTGGACTTTCTACCTAATTATCCCCTACCATTTGTCTGCAGGGATTCTCCTCCTTGTTTTAATGGTTTTATTGTATTTGTGCTTTTTATTGTCTGAAGACTCAAGTTCTTCTTGAAAGGAGGAGGAGGCCTATTGTAAACAATAAATGATAACTTCAAGGCCGTGGCAACTAAAGTACATAGAAAACAAAGTCAATAGTAGGAGAAGAACATTAGAAAGAAAGGGAAGAATTAAAACACAAACGGCCTTCTTAAGATGACATGCCACTACTTTTTAGTAAGTTCCTTTGGGCTTTTATTATCAAAGATTCTTAAAGCAACATAAAAAATACTAAACATAAATTGGTAGGAAACAGTTAACAGTATCTACTATGTACAAATATAATTCAAGATGAGGGGAAAAAAGATGGGGGGGCCCTTCTTCCCATAAAATATTCTTAAGAGATTTCATTCAGAATTTGAAATTCATCTCAAAGAAAAGAAAAATAAGGGGAAAGTTTGCTAGATAAATGGTCAGAGTTAGCACAGTGAAGAAAATAGTAGTGGTTTTGTTACCCATTCCAAAAGCCACCATGTTCAAAGGCAACAAATAATATTCTCAGAATTACTACTGGTCAGAAAAAACACCTTGTGTGTATCTTTCTTTGGAAACTTACTTTCTTTGGAAACTTTCATAGAAACACATTTCTATGAAACAAGAGATAAAGAGGCAGAGTGTAAGAACAGAGAAGGTGTGATGTTTAAAAAACAGTAGTTTATCTACATTTTAAACACTAAATCTCTCCACATACTTTTCCTTCTTACACAAAAGTAACTAAGTTACATTTAAATGTCCTTATATCTCTTGCTTTGATGTTTATAAAATTTGAGTCTAAATTTTAGGCTTATAAATGTTATTCAACATTCAAAAAAACAGTTTATGATGCTACGGAAAACAAAGTAAAAATAACTGCTATAAGCACTGTATCAAAACAATGCAAAAACATTAATTTGAAATTCAACAAAAATAATACAAATTAATAGAAGGACAGATGTACAGGTACATAAGATAAATTCGTAAATGGACTGATATACAGAAACACACGGTATTGTGGAATATTTAAGGGCTGATTCTACAGATGTTCACAGCAAAATTCTTTCAACTTTCCTGTATGTTTAAAATATTGGAAAAGTAAACTTAAAAGATTTTTGAAAGAGAAATGTACAATGCAAAAAAAAAAAAAAAAAGAGAGAGTGAGAAACCAGCAATAATGATAATCTGAGTTCATAATAAGAAGCTCACACAAAGAAAAAACCCCTACAAAAGAAGTGAAAAACATCTTTATCTCTCAAGAAAAGCGTCAAAATGGTCTTTGATTTTTATAGGATCAGGTACATGTGTAATGAACATCTCTAACTCCATAGAAAATGTAAGAAGGCTGTATACAGAAAATAATTGTAATAAAGGAAAACCTAATCAAACACTAGTAAACCAAAACAAGCAGCAGACATCTAGTGAGACAAGATCATAAATGTAATTGGTTAATGTTGATCTGGAAGAGATGAAAGGTAAAAAAAGGGGGGGGGCAAAAAAAAGAAAAGTAAAATAGACAAATAAGAGACTTGACCAGTAGTATATTCAACATGTATTATAAAGCTAGTTTTATAATATGATGATGATGGAAAAATCATATAGAAGTAGAAAAAAAAAGGACAACTGTTAACTACTTCGAAAACATTAAGTTGATCTCTAACATCATATAACATGCACTAAAATATCTAAATGGTTAAAATCTTTTTAAAAAGAAAAAATATATATCAAAGAATACAAAGCGAAAAGGCAACTTACAGAATGGGAGAAAATGTTTATAGATCAAGTGTCTGACGAAGGGCTATCCAGAATATAAGAAACTTTTGTAGCTCAACAACAAAAAATACAAACAACCCAATTTTTCAAAACAATGAGCAAAGAACTTGAGTAGGCATTTCTCCAAAGAAAACATCACAACAGTCAACTGGCATAATGAAATGACATCAGACAGGTGTGGTGACACCCACTTGTAATCTTAGCACTCAGGCAGGGGAAGGCAGGAGGATCACAAGATTGAGCTCAGTCCAAAGCAACTTAGGAAGACCCTGTTTCAAAATTTAAAAACTGCTAGGGATCTAGCTCAGTGCAAAGGCCCTGGTTCCAATATCTACTCACACAGAAACAGAGAGAGAGAGAGAGAAAAAAAAGATGCTCAACCAATCTTTAGGGAAATGCAAACTAAAACTACAGTGACAGGTATTGTCTCACAACCTATTAGGATTACATGCTATGATATCAAAAAATAAATAACAACAGTTGGCAAGAATATTGGAGAATTGGAATCTCCCAAACTCTGTTAGGAAGAATGTAAGATGGTACATACAAACCATAGTACTATGGTCCTCGAAAAATTAAAAACAGGGACTGGGGATTTAGCTCAGCAGCACAAGTGCCTGCCTGGTAAGCACAAGATTGTGAGTTAAATCCCCAGTACCAAAATAAATAAATAAAATAAAAATAAAAACAGAATTACCAACAATTCCACTTTCAAGGATATATCCAAAAGAATGACAGCAAAGTGTCAAAGTGCTATTTTATACCTGTAGTTTTGTCAGCCTTATTCACAACAGCCAAGAAACAAAGCATCCTGAGCATTCACTGATGGACAGATGGATGGATGGATAGATGGACGGATGATGGATGATGGATGGATGGAGAAAATGTGGTATACACACAAAGGCATATTACTGAGACTCACAGTGAAAGAATCCTGACACATGCTACAGGTACACATAAACTGCAAGTAGAAGGGACGTTATAAGGGCCTGGAAGAGTGGGAAATGGGGTGGACCTGTTTATTGGATATAGTGTTTCAGTTTTGCAAAATGAAAAAGGTCTAAAGACAGCTGTATTTAACATAGTGAATGACACACCCCAAAATAGTTAAGATGATAAATTTTATGTTATGTGTATTTTACTACAATTTTTAAAAAGCAAAATGTTCACAACAAGAAGACAACATAAGCACCTGGTCCAATGGTACGTGCCTATAGTCCCAGCACTTGAGAGGCTGAGGCAGGAGGATCATATAAGTTTGAACCTCACCTGGGAACCTATATGAAAGTAAAAAATAGAGAGTGCTGGTGTGTAACTCAGTGTGAAGTCCCTAGGTTCATTCCTTAGTACTGCCAAAAATAAAAAATAAAAAGACATAAATTAAAGAAAATACATGCCAAACCAAAAATACAAGTGAATGAATCAACTGGTAAGAATTTTTATAGCTACAAGCAATGGAAGAAATCTCAAAATCAACAGACTTGAAAACAAAATTTTTACACTGCTATATATAAATTATTATCAAGCAAAGTCAAAAAGCAAACAAAGTAGGGGAAAATGACTGGGACACAATGAGCAAAGCTTAAAATCCTTAACCTGTGAGGATCTCATACTCATACAGTAAACAAAGCCTCATTGAAAAATGCACAGCACAGGGGCTGGGGATTTAGCTCAGCGGCATAAGCACCTGCCTTGCAAGCAGGCAGTTGTGAGTTCGATCCTTGGTACCGATAAAAATGAAAAAAGACAAAAAAACAAAAACTACAAAAGAAAAATGCACAGCACATATAAAATAAAATTTACAAATGGCAAAGTTATTCTACTGGAAACCTAACCCCCTTAAATTCATACAAAGACTCAAAAATTGTCTTCATATACAGACTAAAAAAAACAGTATTTACAAGCAGTATAGTCTGTAAATAAACTAGAGTGTATATGTAGTCATTCAAATATTATATAGCCATGTTTATGAAGAATATTAATCACATAAAAATATACCAATATAAAGTAAAATAAAAATAGCAAGATACTAACCTAATAACACAGTTTTAGTCCAATTACACCGAACATGTACAAATATATAATTAACCTATAGAGATACAGAAAAAATATGGAATGACAAAAATTTAATGGCATCTATAGTTTAATTTTTTTTTCCTCATAATTCTCTCTATTCTTACAATTTTTTTAAAAAAGAAAAAAAATAGGCAAGGGATATAGCTCAGCAACATAGCACCTGCCTGGCAAACACAAGGTCCTGAGTTCAATCCCCAGTATCAAGAAAAGAAAGCTCAATTTAAAAGCTCAACTCTACTTACCTGTAGTCATGGTTGGACTAAATAGTCCCAGGACTGACAAGGTAGAATAGGTCATCAGGCCTTCATATAACTCCCCATTTAAATACTCTTCTGCTTCTTGGATTGATGTTATAATCACTGGACATGAGATCCTGTTGCTGGATGAAAATAACTATATTCAAAATTAATTTTTAAAAATTTTTTTCTGTTAAAAACATTGGAATTTACCAATTTATTACACAAGGTAAGTTCCCTAACAGGGAAGCTGAATACTTACAGCTGGATAAACCTGAGGAGCCCTTCAGTTCCTAGCATACCGGTGTAAGACACAGGGTTCTCACCCTTCTTGTACATCTTTACAGCCGGAAATTCAGTAACATTTTGCTTGGTACATACATCAGACCAATCTGCACAGTTTATTCTAGTAAACAGTGCAGCAGATGTGCCTAAATTAAAGGAAAACGCACATTTTAAAACAAATATGAATGCAGTCATCTGCTTAGAATGTTCACTATCTTCCTATCCTGCTCTTACTTTAACCTCTGAGTATGAAAGATTAAATATTCTTGCTTTGAGTTTTGTAACACTTCCCCTTTAGCTTTTATTTCTATTTCTCTAGCTTCTCTTTTTGCTCTTTTTGGGGGGCTTTAGTGGAGTTGGGAGTTTCTCAAGGCTCTGCTTAAACTGTCTTCTTGCTCTACACTCAGTTCCTAGACAGTGTCAATAAGCACCAATAACCTAATGAATCCTAAGTCTGTATCTTTGGTCCTGGTTTTTGCTTCAAGTTTCAGATCCATGTATCCTTAACAGCCTTCTCTGTTTCCTGATGGGATCATCCTCAAATCCTGTAATGTCTAAAACAAACGTGGTCTCTTTCTTGGGTCCTCTGATGAAGGCTGCTACTGTTTCTTGGGGGGAATTAACACTAGTTAATATATTGCATATTGTTATCTTAGAAGTTGTCCTGTTACAAAATCAAGGCACAAAAGTGATCAGTCAAACAGTGATAGCACTAACTCTTCTTTTCGATGAGTGAACAGAGATTAGTATAGTTATCTATCTAGCATACATATACATACACACCAACATACATATAATCTTTTCCTTTCTTCCTGTTCCCTATCCTAGCTGTTCTGTGCTTTTGAGCACTTTCTCTTTCATTATTATAATATCTATTGTATATTTAGAATCTTATTACTTTTAGATTTTTATTTTTTATTACTTTTTATAGTAGGGAATTATGATAGGATTCAGAGTCCCATTTAATCCAGCTCTTCCCCTTCTGAATATTTTTCCAGAAAAATTGAAAATGTCATGTCACAGAGATATATGTGCATCTATGTTTATAGAATTATGATATTTATAAATGTGAGTTTGATTTATTTCACTTATGAGTAAGGTCTTGAGTTGCCTCCATTTACCTATAAAAGCCTCAAGATCATCCTTTTTATAGCTAAGTAATATTCCACTGTATAAAAATACCACATCTTTTTCATCCATTCTGCAGCTGATGGGCCTTTGGTTGTTTCCAAGATTTAGCTATAACAAATCGTGCTGTTATATACATGGGTGCATATATATATATATATATATATATATGTATATATATATATATATGTATATGTATATGTATATATCTGTGGCATGACATTTTCAATTTTTCTGGGAAAATATTCAGAAGGGGAATCACTGGATTGAATGGGACTTCCAATCTTAGTTTTTTGAGGAATCTCCACACTGATTTCCACAGTGGCTGCACCAGTCTACACTCTCACCAGCAATGGAAAAGTAATCTTTTGATAAAGTCCAACACTTGTTCATACTAAAAACCCTACAGAAACTTGGAATAGATGGTATCTACCTCAATCTGATAAAAGCCATCTATGACAAACCAACAGCCAACATTATACTAAATGAACAAAAACAAAAGCTTTCACAATCAGGGAGAAGACAAGGATGTCCACTATCACCATTCCTATTCAAAACAGTTCTGGAAACATTAGCCAAAGCAATTAAACAAGACAGAGAAATAAAAGGAATAAAGATAGGAAAGGAAGAAGTTAAATTACCACTATTTGCAGATATGATATTCTATATCATACTATACTAAAAACTCTTGTCAAAAGAATACTAGAGTTAATAAGCAAATCTTGCAGTGTAGCTGGATACAAAGTCAACACTCAAAAATCAATACCATTCCTGTACACAAACAACAAACCCACTGAGAGAGAAATTATGGAGGTAACACCTTTCACAATAGCATCCAAAACAGTGAAATAGTTAGGAATCAACCTAACCAAGGATGTATAGAACTTCAAAAAAGGACATTGCAGAGGATGTCAGAAAATGGGAAGATATCCCTTGGTCTTGGTTAGGAAGAGCCAACACTGTGAAATGACCATATTCCCAAAACTGTTATACAGATTTAATGGGATTCAGATCAAAATCCCACTAACATACCTTACAGATCTAAAGAAGACATTTCTAAAATTCATTTGGAAACAGAAAAGACCTAGAATCGCAAAGGCAATCCTGGGCAACAAAAGCAAGGAAAGAGGCATCACAATCCCTGACTCATACAAAGCTAAAGTGATAAAATCTGCATGGTACTGGCAAAACAAACAAACAAACAAAACAGACCTGAGGATCAGTGGAAAAGATTAGAAGATGCAGACACAGCCACAAAGCCGCTTAGCCACCCTCTTTGACAAAAAGACCAAACATGTACACTGGAAGAAAGATAGTCTCTTTAATAAACGGTGTTGGAAAAAATAGCTTTCTGCATGCCAAAAACTGAAACTATGTTTATCACCATACACGAAAATAAAATGGATCAAAGGTCTGAATATTAAAACAGAAACACTAAATCTACTGGAAGACAAGGTAGGTAGAAATCTTGAGGACAAGGGTAAGCAAGAGTTTATGAACAAAATGCAAACTACATGGGAAGCACTTCAAAGAACCAACAACTGGGGTCTCTTATTAAAAAGTTTTTGTACTTCAAAAGAAATCACCAACAAACTGAAGAGAAAGCTCACAGAATGGGAAAGAATTTTAGCAAGCTGTCCCTTAGACAAAGGAATTATATCTAGAACATATAAAGAATTGAAAAACATCAGGCCCCCCGGATTGAAAGACCCAATCTAAAAATGGGCATCTGAGATGAATACACACTTCTCAGATGAAGAAATACAGATGGCAAATAAATACATGAAAATATGCTCAACATCACTGGTCATTTGAGAAATGCACATTAAAACAACACTGAGATTCCATCTCACTCCAGAAAGAATGGCTGCCATCAAAAAATCAACTGATACCAACTGTTGGGAGGGATGTGAGGAAAAAGGAAAATTGGTACTTTGTGCAACGCAGAAAACAAAGCATCCTTATTCCTGTCTCCCCATTCCTAAGGCCCCCATGTCCAATCAATTAGTATATCTTTTTAATTGTAGCACTTAAATTTAAAACATCTTTCCGTCCACTTCTCTTTACTTCCAGTAATGTGTCAGCATTTCTATTAAATAAATACGATCACAGCTTCCAGTTCGCTTCCCTGGATTCGATGCCTACAATAACACCAGAGTTAACCTTTCCAAAACTCAAAATCTGTTCTGGTGCCAGCATACTCCCGACCCTGTTGTGCAGAGCCAGGTCTGTCTCTCGATGAGCGTCTACTTCACGGCTTTCTGATACATGCTCTGATAAAACCACGCTCCTTTCCTCATCACTCTGTGTGATCATGTGATCATGTGCTCATTCGCACGGATCCGACCCTACCAGAAGAGGGCTTTGAAAGAAGGGGCTGTGCCTCTGTCATTCATCACATACTCTCAACCTCTACGGCGATCCTTGCACATGAAGCCCTTTTAATAAGCAAGTGAGTAAATGACACACATGAAACTCGACCAGGGCTTCAGAAACCCATCCCTGGTTGAATATTGTATTTCTTTTCAGGTTAAAATGGAATCCAATGCACAAATTCCTACTTTTTCTGCAATAAAATATGTCAATTTCTCTAAAATATGTAAATCAGAGTGAAATGAGATTTTTAAAAACCAAATAGAACAAGTAAACAATTGAAAGTTATAAAGCCGCTTACACTGGTTACTATTTTTATGTTTATTTTCTGTAAGATGGCTTCAATATTTACTCCCATTTCAATCTTAATAGTCTAGCTACCAGAAGAAAAAAATTCTAATAATAAATAAAACTTAGTAGATTATTAGATCAAATAAGAAATCTCTGTATCAGTTTAGGATACAGTGTAACTTAACCATACAATGTAATACTTTACTGCTAAGTTTTCAATGATGAAAACTGATGTTTAGATTCTTGATTATACCTCACAGAGGCAAAATCTCATCCCTTCAGATTTAGTGCTAACACTGATAACACAAACAACATCTAAGTCCCCAGGAAATTCCCGGTGTTCAGCACAATGTCCACTGTACAGTATCTATTCAGTGAAAATGTAGAGATGTGCACTGGTATTTCTTCATAGGCAGTTTAAATTTTAAAAAATATGTCAGTATCTGAATATCATATGAGCATTTAAACAAAAAGAAGTCTTTATTCTTTCCAAAAATCAAACCTGTTATTTCTCTGCAAAGTTCTCCTGTCCTTAATCATGTCATCAATAACTACATGGCAGTGACTGTTCACATGACCACCATGTTATGCGCCATCTGAGTGTGGAATACAGTGCTATGGCATACCAAGTTATTTCCTTCCTATAACATCTTCAACACAGCTGCCCCCGCCAAAAAGGTTGATAATACCTTGTCCCTACAAAAAGGAAAACTCTGATGTTACTTTTAATTCTGGAAAAAAAAAAAAAAACCCAGAAACACATGTTGCTACGGTTGATGGTTGACACATTGTATTAACTTGAGAAGTTTAGAAGTTTAAGAGACTCAGCAGGGAGCTGGAGTTTTTACTTAATATCCTTGTTCTATGCAAGAGAAAGGCAGTATTTTTCCAGTGCTACACTGGCCTAGGGGTAGGGAGTGGACTATGTATAATATAAGGGAGGAAAAGAGGCTTGTGCTCCCTCTTTTGCTCTGGCTGCTTTTGCTGGATGCTGCCTTCAAGCGCCCCTGTCCCCTGCTACCCTTCCTTGGAGCCAGCTGATTATGGACTGAAATCTCCACAGAGAGATAATAAACCCTTCCTTTCATAATTTTGAGTATTAGGTATTTTGTCTCAGCAATGAGAGAAAAGTAACTAAGACACATGTTAACAAAAGTTACATGTTCATACTGAAGTAATTTTAAAATTTTATTTTACATAAAATGGTTTCAGTGCCTATATTTCAATCTGAATAGTTTATTATTCTGAGGTATCTATAGCATTAGATACATATACTTTATCAATGCATTAATTTCAAACAAAATTCCTGAAAGAAAAAATAGATTCTCTTTGCTAGATACTATGTGAGTATAAAAATCTGACATTTGCTGCCACCTTGTGACTGAGCAAAAAAAAAAAATTCATTGCCTTAGATGAAAAATGGCTTTTTCCCAAGAAGTCAACATGAAAGACTATAGGATTAATGTCCAAAGTACTACAATATTTTCCTAATTCACAAAGTTTTAGTACAGAATGGGCATCCTTAATCCGGAAAAAAAATCCAGACTGCTTCAAAATCTGAAATTTTTTGAGTGTCAACATAAAATACCATAAAAGAAAAATTCTACACCTAACCCTGAGAGATAACAGTCAAAATCCAGGTGCATAAAAAATATTACATAAAATTACTTTATGAATGTCATATATAGATAGTATTTATATGATATATATATATATATATATATATATATATATATATATATATATATATTTTACACCTGGGTCCTATCCCAAGATACTGCATTTTATATATATATGCAAATATCCTAAATTCTGAGAAAATCCAACACATTTCTAGTCCCAAGCATTTCAGGTAAGGGATATTTAACCTGCTAGATTTCATTATAAACACAATATACTATAGTTACTTATATCACATATTTTAACATTAAACCCCACCTTGAACTTGGAAAAAGTCTATTTATCTGACTTCTAATTACTAATAGGATTGTTATTCACAAAGAACACACTGAGTAAAAAGAAAATCAAGACCTAGGTTATTTTTATTGTGCAAACACAACTAAAACTAAACAGTGGATACCATTCCCAGAATAGCCAAGAATAACCAGATCCATCATGGGATCTGGTTACAAGATAAACAGGGCAAGAGAAAATCATATTACAGATACAAAACATGATACATTCTGTTTAATTCCAAGGACTGTAAAACTGTGCACCCCTAATCCATCACTAACTCTCTTACGCTCAGGCCTCCCAATTTCCCCCTATGTCTTTACTGGAACAATGTCATACACATTTTGATTTAAAGTCCAGTCCTTTAAATTTTACTTGCCTACCACCAGATTAGACTTCACAGAATAAATAAAAATATTTTGCCTGTTAAGAAATAGCCTAGACCAGTTAACCAAATATAGCTTCAAGAACACCATAATCTTTCATCTTCCATTAATCTATGGGACTAGGTCATATCTATTAGTTTTTATCTCCAATATTTAATAGGAACTGGCATGGAGTAGGTTTCATACATAAGCTTTCCTATTTCCACCAATCACAGTCTCATGAGACAATAAAAATGAATGCTTCTGAGTATGTCTGATATTCTGAATTTATTTACTAATTTAACTTTGGAGACACAAACCTAATAACCTGAAACTTTATGTGGTCCTCTGCATCTTTAGTATGACACAGTTTAACAAAAAGCTACAACTCAAATCAGGAAAATGAACATGCATATGACAGTATAATACCTTTCAATTTATCTGCCACATCAATATAGGATTGCAGGAAGGCCAGGGATACTGCTTGCCCTGCATTAAAATTTTAAAAATGTCAACAGAATGCATCAATGTATATATTTCCAGAAGCTTCCATACTTTTATACCCAACAAACACAGATTTATGTATTTTTGCAGAATTGCTATTTCCAAATAGTATAGATTACTCAGTACTGTCCAACCCCTTAAAAGGGTTCTCAGTGCAACCATTTTTCTGCATTAGTACTGCAGATAGTGTGTGCTCTTTGATAGCACATACAGGAACAGTACTGCAAATAACACAGAAGAATGGCTATCATATTAAGATAAAAGCAATATATTTCCTTTAAATGCTTAAATCTATAATAATTGCTAATATATTAAAAACCACTACTTAGAATCATAATATTTTTCAAACTATTTAGTTGAACACCTAGTGAAATCATTAAACTTCCATTTGTAAATTACACATATAGAGTACAGATATGGTCTGAACCACACTGACATGTGTGACAGGACACATAAAAGTTTACAATGTGCAACATGAATGAATAAAATGAAATCTACTTTAAATGTCCTACTATGTAACACAGAAGCCTCTAAAGGCTCCAACTCACAACCAGCATAGAAGAGCACAACGCTGTCCGAAGCCATCACTGTAGGGTTAAATGTCTCTTCTGTAAGTTCCATGGTCAATTCCAAAGGTAACTGTCTCTTCCTATCTCTGTAAACAGTTTCTGCCACTTCATCATCTTGAATATCTAAAATGTTTAAAAAGAAATGATTATGAACACAGATTTGTACTTAAAAGTATTTAAACTATTCTTATAAACAAGCGTTTGAAAATTTTGTAGTTTATAAAAATTCCTAAGGCCACACAAGCTAACTAGTTGAAATGAGCAATATTTTGGAAGCTTTCCAAGTTGCATGACTTTTGATCTTAAAAGACCCAGAGATGCTTTCTGACTTGGGAATGTCAAGCTTAGTTAATTCCACAAGTAACTGCTTAACTTTGCTCTACAAATAATATAAATATTGCTGTTGTATTTCTAATGGCAGCAGTAATTATTAATCTCCAAAGACTCTACTATCCATATTTGGTAGTGTTTAGCTTCTGCTATATGTCAAGCACTGTAAACGCAAACAGTAAAAACACAGCTCTAATCACTGGCCAGAAGAGCCAGGCAAGGAACTGATCAATGAATACACATACAACTATAAATTCTTGTCAGTTTATGAAGGAAGGTAAAAGACAAGTGAAAGACTGCAACAGGGAAATTCAGAATAGGAAAATAAAAAATTTACCATGCAGAAAATTAACAATGTTTTAGATGAAGAAAATGACAAAGAGGACAAATGTTGCAAAAATTTTGGCTTTTATTCTATGTGCATGAAATTATGGACAGATTCTGAATATGTGAAAAATCTTTCACTAGTTTAGATAGACTAATCAATATATTGATGGATTGCTAGATCACAGGTCCACCTGTGTATATATTAAAAAAAAAACCCACACTTTCAATTGGTAGCTATGCTGCTAAAAGTTTATAAAAATTGTACAGTAACATATAAGGGACACCTAACTGGGTAAGAGAGACAATTAAAGTCTCCTGGAAGAGTCTGTTAAAGGAGAAACGCAGGCAGAGGGAAGGGCACAATGAATGCACATCGACCAAAGGGAAGAGCACAAGCAAAGGCACAGCGGCCTGAAGAGCACGGTGCCAATCGAAATCCAATCACTGACCCAATAGCTGATAATATTAAGGATGTGAATGCTTTAGACATAATGATACTCAGTTAATATTTTTAAAATTCTCATCTTTATGAGATACACAAGTGAACATCTATGGCTGAAATTACCTATCTGGAACATGTGTACAGGGGGTGGGAGTGCTTACAGCAGGGTTAGCCATGAGCTGATGGTGACTTTGACAAGTCATGGAGACCAGGAGTGTGCTCTATTATCTTGCCTACTTTACAGCGTGCCCATCATTCTCTTCAGCGACACATGAAAAGGAAAGGAAGAAGACGATGCATGCGGAGAATTAGAGTACCATTTTTCCACATGATTTCTATGCTATACAGAAAATTCTAGATGTGGATTTCACTACCCTCCTCAGCAGTCTTTTAACTGACACATATAACTCTGGGTCTCAATGTTTAACACTCAGCTCTGAATTCTAACAGTTGCACCACATTAAAGTACTTTTAAATACCACATTCCATGAAAAATATTCTTCGAAAGGTACGACATCCTCAATAGCAAAGTCAGGAGTCTACTTCCTTATGTATTCTGTGGTCTTTCCTTCTTATTTACATGAGGTGCGTCTGAAATACATGGCTTAGAGCATACTCATATTTTCGTTTCCATCAGGCTTTTCTTATTTCCTAGCTCATCCCTTGTTCTCTTATTTGACTCTAACACCTCCTTTCCCTCCTTTCTGTATCTGTTGAGCCACCTCCTCTGTAAACTTCCTCCTCAGCTCTTTCCCCTGCTGGTCAGTACACAGTCACTACTTATTACACATGCTTCTTTTTTCTTTTCATCCTGTGGCCCTCCTGTAGAGCCCAGACTTTTTCATTCTGAGTTGTGCCTTGGCCACTTCTTTTGTGAAATATTTATCCTTGAGTTCCACTCACAGATGGTAAAACATTCTTTCCTAGACCTCTTCTCGTTTTCTTGTGTGAATGGGAAGGATACACAAAGGGAAGCAAAAGCAATAAGGCAGAGAACAAGGAACCAGAGCCCAGGTCTGCCCAGTTACACAAAGCATGGTGAACTCCGGAGAGGAACACAAGCAGTCCTAACCCTTGTGGATCAAAAAAGAGCTGGAGCTGGCTCAAACCAGAACTGGTCACTCTAATTAAAGCTCTAATTAAACATATAACACAGGCTTTGATCTTAATGATGGATAGGCCTCATGAAAATAATGTATAAATTGCTTTTTCAGAGCTCATGATGATGATACTACGTGGTAGGACTAAAAAAATCTGGAATTTAAATTTTTAAAAAATTTATTATACTAAAAGACCGCTGTCACTAATCCCCCTCAAAAATCCCCTCCTCACTATGAACACGCTTCTTCCATCATCTTGTCACTTTCTGAAGCAGTTCTGGAACCCTCTTTTTGTGGCTACCTCGATATCCTGAATCAGTTCAAGACATTTACCTTTCATGGTCATTTTGATTCTGGGAAAGAGCAAGAAGTCACACAGTGCCAGACCTGGCGAATAAGGTGGATGAGGAGTCTGCCCTTCTGATGGGTGGCACTTCATAGCAGCACTCACCATATTTCTACTCATATTTTATAAAAATGCTCAAAAAAGAGCAGTTCCAGAACTGCTTCTGAGAGTGGCAAGAATGATGTGATTGCCGCAAGGGAAGAATTCTGAGGGTGCTCGGCAGCACTGTCTTTACTGAAATGAATTCTTAAAATTCATTCTGTTTTTTGGTGACCCCTTGCAACAGTCAAGTACTTATTAAATGAGACATAAAAATAAGCATAGGTCACAGACCAGTGAAGAAGAAAGAACAGGAAATGAGCAGTGACAGAATAGGGTTAATGCTGTGAAAAAAAATTATCAGAATAATAATTTATAATAAAGATGTATCATGTCAAGGTGCTTTAAATCTGTTCGGGCACCACCACATTCACCTGTGTCCATGGGCAGCTCACACAACTCTGAAGACACAGACTCTATAATATGGAGGGACCACCAGTTAGCCTACAGGATAGTAAGCTGAGTAATGTGGAGCAGGGCAAGAACCATGAAATACTGCATATATGTAAGCGGTAAGGCCAATAAAAAACCAGAAATAACTGCTTAACAGAAATAACTGTTAAGAGAAATATTAACATGTTCTCAAAATTTATTTACCATACTACTAGCAATCAGACTCATTTACAACTAGAAACACAACTGTATTTATTTATTTATTTATTTTGTCTTTTTCCTTTTTATCAGTACCGGGGATTGAACTCACGACTGCCTGCTTGCAAAGCAGGTGCTTATGCCGCTGAGCTAAATCCCCAGCCCCCGAAACACAACTTTATTTCCTAATAGGAATAATAAAAATTAAACATGTTGTGGTTTGAGTGGAGTTTTTAAACATGGAGTAGACCAATGGGCAGGAGAACTGATTCGAAGGATACAAACAGAGCTGTGGGAACCCAGAAACCTGATCCAACAATACACAGGCGCACTAAACAAAAGAGGATCCTTACATCTTCTCACCTAGTCAACCTGACACAAAGGGCATCAAACACATTTCTCCAAGTCTCGCCACAGAATCCTGACTGTGAATGCTTTCTATGAGAAAAGGTAATTCACTGGAAACTTTACTGACTTGGGGGCTGGGCAGGAAGGGGGTGGTAAGTATTATAACTATTACCCATATCTGGATCTTCCATGTCACTGTCTTCATCATCCGGTATTTCCTCCATGTGCATATTATTTTCCACATGAGAAATTATGGAATCAACATCAGGTAACACCAAAAATTCCACTGGCATGTCCTAGAAATATGTTAATTTTTTAATCATTAAAATATAGCATAGCATTTTAATCTAAAAATGCTTTACTTATTTGACACTAAAAAACTAAGCCTCTGAATTTCACTTTTAAAACAAAACAAGAAAATAAACTCCACAATTACTATAAAAAGCATACTTTATACAAAGCATTTATACAAAGACAGTCTGCCCTGCTAAAAAACATGACAAAATGGAATTGTCTCACTCACTGATTGTCACAGCTGCCTCTCCTAAAGTCTACGACACATTTCACATACAATATCAAGTTCTAACTCAAGAGATAATGGAAACATAATTTTATAGCAAATATAGCCAATCGAAACTGGTTATTTTATATTCCCCTGAAATAATAAAAAATACTTCATCTAAAATAATTCCACTAAAAAGCACACTCTCTGCCCCATTTAGATCAGTATTATTCCATTAAGATTTCATTATTAATGCACAACTACTGCATTTTATACTCATGAAATTTTAGGTCATTAGATGAGCCAATCATCCTTAATATATATGCTTATTTGAATTTTACCCAAAACGCTCAATGGTGCTAATTAACTTTAAATCTAGTTTATAGAAAATAAAGAACAAGGTAGACAAAGCACAAAAAAGTTCAGACAAACCTAGAATATAGAAAAACTATTCCCATTTCATTTATGCAAAAAGCCAATGTCATAAGGAAAAAAAAGAGAAAATTAAGCAATTAAGAGACTTAGGAAACATCAAACAATTTATAATCTTTGACTGGATTTAGCTTTCCAAAAACTAGCTCTAGAAAATAATTCTAGGATGACAAAATTTGAATATAGACTGCTCAAAGAAGAGACTACCATATTAAAATATTATTATAAGGCCAGGAGTGGTGGCACAGGTCTGCAATCCCTCACTCGGGAAACTGAGGCAAGAGGATCACGGCAAGTTCGAGGGTGGTCTGGGCCACCCAATGAGTTCAAGGCCAGCCCGAACTGCAGAGTAAGACCTTGTCTCATAAAGACAAAAAAAAAAAAAAAAAACCTATAAATTTATAACAAAATTATCATATATATAGAACCACAAGTTTTTAGAGAGTCATGCTATGTATTTGTGAATAAAACTTCACATTATCTTCAACATTCTTTTAAAGTTTCAGAAAAATAACTAAAACAAACAAGACAAAATGTTCACAGTTGAGTATGGAGCTACACATAGGGTTATTCATTCTATCTTCTCTTGAACATTTAATTTTTTTCACAGTAAAATGTTTAAGAAAGGGGTAAAATGGACTTTTACAGACTTGATGTGATGGTTTGCATCTTAAATGTCCCCCAAAGGCTCGGGTGTGGAAAGGTGAGCCAGCGGAGAACATGGCGGGTGGTGAACCTTTGGAAAGTGAGGCTGCTGCGGGAAGTTAGGAGGTGGGGGTGTAACAATGGAGATGTGAAGAGAGATTCCAGGCATGAACACAAGCCTCACAGCGCTACGCTAACACACTAAGGCCATGCTCCTCCTTGAGGCCTCCTGTGCTCCATCTAGAACATTCTTTCTCCACACATCTTTCCGTTTGTTCCTTTGCTTTGCTGTCACTTCTCAGAGATGGCATCTGTGACCACCCTTTCACCTTAATTCGATTTTTTGTCCTCCATCACCCCCGGTACCATCTGACATTCCAGACATATTTGTTTTTTATGTTTCCTACTACTAATACAGTCACATAACTAGGGTGAAACCTGGTTTTCTAGCTGGGTCCTCAGAGCCTAGGACTATGCCTGAAAAAATGCAAGTACTTAACAAACACTTATGGATGAATATTATTTAATATTTATTAGCATCAACAATGTTGGATCCAAAGTAAGTACATTATTTCATTTATTATTCTGACTCAACAACCCTATACAGTAGGTAATATTATCCCTGTTTTATAACAGAAAATATGGAGATGAACAGAAATAATTTTCCCAGAGCTACAAAGTAGGATTTGAGCTAGGGAATATGACTCCAAAGCATAAGCACTGAGCCCTATTGTACTAATCACTGTCACAGAGAAAAAAACAACTGGAAAGCTTATATGAGACTAACTTTATTATAAATTTTATTATTATTAAAAGGCCTATAATGTAGTCATAGGTCTGTAATACTATCTGTGCAGAAAGTACTACCAGTGACACTCAAGGAGTACAGGAAAGGGAAAGGGAAGGAATGGTCACATAGTCTCAGGATCAACATTACTGCCCCAAAGTGGAAGTTAAAAAGAATTGCATTGAACTTGATACAACTCACAGAAAAAGCTTATTCTGGGGCTGGGGACTTAGCTCAGTGGCTCAGGCGCTTGCCTGGTAAGTGCAGGTCATGGGTTCAATCCTCAGAACCAAAAAAATAAAAATTTTTTTAAAAGCTTATTCTATTCTTAGCAATGAGCTACATCCCCAGGCCTTGTTGTTTGTTTCTTTGTTGTTTGTTTTTTATAATTTCAAGACCAAGTCTTACCAAGCAGCTAAATTGCCCAGGCTGGGCTAACCCTCCTGACTCAAGTTCCAGACTGCGGGATTGCAGGTATGCACCACCATGCCAAAGTGACAGGTTTTCTTTTCCATGAAAAACACGTATTATTTTAGGACTACGTGTACTTTAAGCAAGCTGACATTAGAGACCAGTAGCAAAAGTGACTAACCTTTTCTGCTCTTTTGAAGACCACATTGGTATGCTGAGGAATGTTCACTTCCAAAGAGTCCCTTTTTCAAAATGGAAACAAATGTTTTACATTGCAGATCTGAAGAGTAACAGTCATCCAGGAGGTCAATCCAAAATAGGACAATAAATTCTCATACTAAAAAATGCTTATGAAAAGTGATTACAATTTATTCTTTGAGAAATTTCACATATAAATGCATACCATATTGTCCCGTCTCCATGTTAATCTGATCAGACTAATAATGTGCAGAATTTAGCTCAGCTATTAGTTCTAACAATATTGGGATTTAGCCAAGATCTGAGGGTTTCATGTGTTTAGATTATATAAGAAGAAAAATACTAGGGTTTTGCTAATACAGTGGTTACTCGGTGTGGAAGATACCTTAACAAGAGTAGAACTCCGGCTTTTCCTAGAAGATGCCAAGCAACCCACTCTGCAGTTCTTCTATCAGCTTCATATGTAGCTTTTTGGCTAACAATAAAAACCAGTGGTAATCCTAGTTGGAGATGAACAGTTGAAACTTGCTGGGGATCTTCAGCAACTTCAGTCTTTATTTAAAATAAAAGAAAAACATGCCTTCATTGTGTGAATCTAATGTTCCAACATTTGGACTGAAATCCTAATTCATATTAATAAAGTCATGATTAAAAATCAACTCTGTGAAGTAAACCCAACATTAGTAAAAACAATCACATTTAATACTTCCATATACCTGCATAATTTAAACCAATTATAAAGCCAAGAAATACTATAAAGAATTAAACATAAAATTACAACGAAAAAACAGGCATATTATAAGGAAACAAAAATAAAAGAATGTGGTACTGATAGAGGTAAATATTTCAAAGGAAATAGAATAGACAAGACATAAATGTTCCTGTACAATACTTTAAGAGGCAATAAATGACACAATAACATAAGGAACATCTAAATTAAAAACAGTAGATTGGGTACATATATCTAATCTCTCTCCCTCTAGAAATCCCAGGGAAACCACAGGAGTTAAAAATATATAAACATGCATAATTGAATAAAGAAAAAACAAGAGGCAGTAATATTTGGAGGCTGGAATACAGAACAGTAACTGACATGGTTTTGTTATGAAGCAACACCCTCAGCCAGGAGAGTAAAAGCTAAGGAATGACTCAATTTCAACTATACAATTCTAAAACAGCACAAGAACTGTCAGTGTTTTATATATATAGAAAATGTCAGGAAGGTTCTAAAATGAGAAAGAATAAGTCAAAGTGCATGTTTGTAACAGAGAAGAACGGTGATGTTTTGGGAAACTGGTACCTGCATAGAACATCTTGGTCATTTTTCAATCCCTGTGGCCATCCTCCAGAACCCCTTGCCCTATTTTCAAAAGTCCACTTTCTAGTTTCCCATCACCTCTCATTTTATTCATTTATTTATTTATATTTTATGTTTCTCATAGAAAATATGCAATATTTAACTTTCTGCGTCTGGCTTCTTTTGCTTAGCATAATGGTCTCAAGTTCCATCTGCTTTCTTACAGTGATTTCACTCTCCTTTATAATTGGACAACATTCCATGGCATGCATATATATATATATATATATATATATATATATATTCACAATTTATTTATCCATTTGTCTGCTGATAGGCATCTAGGTTGTTTCCAGTGTTTAGCTACTGTGAACTGTGCTGCCATAGATATAGGTATGCATGTATCACTAAAATGTGGTGTCTTTAATTCTATCAGGAATATACCTAGGAGAGGTATGGCTGGGTTACATGGTATTTCTATTTGTAGTTTTTTGAGAGATCGCCATACTAATTTCAGTAGAAACTGCACTAGTTTGCATTCTCACCAACAAGGCAGGAAGGTTCCTTTCTCCACATCTTCACCAGTATTCACTGTTTTTTGTGTTCCAGATAAGATGGAATCTCAAAGCAGTTTTGATTTTCACTTCCCTCACGACTACACGTTGAACATTCTTTTCATATACTCATTGGCCATTTGTATTACATTTTGAGAAGTGTGTCATTAGCTCATTTGCCTGTTTTTTAATTTGGTCAATTTTGAGCAAAAATAGCAAAACATATGGCATCACAATACTAGACTTCAATACCAAAAATGACATGATTCTGGCACAAAGACAGACATGTAAACTAATGGAATGTAACAAAAGTGGGGAGAGAAACAACCCCATGCACCTTCAGCCACCTCATTTGTGACCAAAAAACATACAATGCAGGTCAGGGTTTTGAGAAGTAGCTAGATCTCTAGATTCCCATTTCCAGTTTAAGAGTTTAGGCAACTATTCTTCTTCCATGCCAACAAGAATCTGGGGCACCTCAGAAACAGCTGAGAGTGGGGATTCCATACCCAAACTGGCATAATTAAGTAACTGAATGCTAAGATGCCTCCCAAAGCTCCTCACCATTCCATTCTCAGAATGCTTGTAGTCACACTTCTGTCCTTGAGCAGAAGACTGGAAGAAGGATTTCATAGGATCTTGAATAATCCACATGAGCCTAAAGACAATGACCATGGGAGTTCCTTAAAAAGGCACCCAAGCCAAATCACCCTACAGAGCACAAGTCAACAAGTCCCACCAATCAATTTCTTAATTTTTAAATTCTATATCATGAACAGATATCCAAGGAAACCTGAGGAAAACCTCTATCATGAAAGAGAGAGACCAGAACCCACAGAAAAATAAATAATATGGCAGAAACACAGATTGTGCAAGAAGAAGAAAGCTTCATAATCACTATGGAGACTCTCAAGGAGATGAAAAGATATTATATCCATTAAGATTTGAAAAGTAAAGCTGGATAAATCTCCTAGAAAGCAAAACAAGGACAGACAGAAAGTTACAGAGAGACGATAATAAGTCATGTTGAAGCACTAGCAGAAGCCTGATATCTAAACAACAGGAGTCACAGAGAGGAAAAGGGGAAAACAGAAGGAAAGAAATCATCACAGAAATAAGCACAAAACTTCTCCACAACGAAGCAACATGAGCTGCCCAATTGAAAAAGCACAGTGAGTAATGAACAGAATAATTAAAAGTAGATACACAGGAAAACACATCCTCACAAACTTTCCAATTATTTAAAATTCAAAAATTATTTTCCAGACAGAATCCTGTATTTATATATGCTGGACAGAATTCTAAGGTGGCTCCCAAGACTGCCATGCCCCCTCATGAACAAGTCTTACATACTTCCCTCCCCTAGAGTTTAGCTGGGACCCACAAGATAACACAGAAAACACTTTACAAAAAAGTTTGAATCCTTCTATTTTGTTGGTTTACTAAAACTTAATGTAATTATATCAAATTATCTCAGATCCTGAACACATGAGTACAAGCTGGGTTTTTTTTTTTTTCTGTTGTTGTTAGTTTGTATGTTTGTTTTCTTTTTGTTTTGTTTTGCTTTGAGATGCCTTACTACATATTCCAGGCTGGCATTGAACTTACAATGCAGCCCAGGCTGGCCTCCCACGTCAGCCTCCTGAGTGCTGAGTAACTCAAGTCAACATCTAACAAGTCTTATAGGTAAGAACCTTAATAAATCATGAAATTTAGGTGTTAGTTTCCAGGATTTCTATTATTTTTTCTGGTTCATTATGCTATCAGAATGTATAACTCTGTGACATCAAATTTTCATCTACTGGGGTATGTTAATAGATTGTGTCTAGATGTCCCCCCACCAAAGCCTCATGCGGTCAGAGGTGGGGCTTTTTCAGAGGTGGCTGGATCTAGACTGTGTGACAGATTTAGGATTAAGGGTGCTAGAATTAAGGGTGGGTGATTACTAAATCAGTCTACTGATTGGTTTGGTACCATCCTAATCTAAGAAGACTAGATAAAATATATAAGGATCAGAAAAATAAGCTGGTAAGGTCTTTTTCTGGCTTTGTTACCTTCTGCTTGCCACACACTGCCTGTCCTGTGCAACTCCTGTCTGCCACGCCACTTTGCCTTGGTGACAGCCAGTTATGGGCTGAAGCCTCTATGAACTGTGAGCTAAATAAATCTTTTCCCCTTTGGGTGTCAGGTATTTTGTCTCAGCAATAAGACAGAGGTAAGAAAGACAGAATCTGGTACCAAGAGTGGGGTTGTTGCTGTGACTACACCTAACCATGTGGTTCAGAAGTCTTTAGGAATGATTTGTCGGAAGAATTTGGAAAGGTTCACAGACACTAGATGAAAAAGTAGACCTGGAACGCCTTAGGCTACACGATGGAAGATCAGAATTCAGAAGACCTGAAGGCTGACAGAAATCCTGCTGTTAAAAGATCAGGCTTAGGTGGTCTCTGACAGGAAAGAAAACTGCACTGACTGTTGGACTCTGCACAATGTGTGTTATAGTTGGCAGAAAATTTGTCTGCATTTTGCTTATGGCTAGAGACTGCTTGAGACTAAGACTAAGAGCAGCAGATGGATTAACTTAACAGAAGAAATTTCAAGGCAAACCAGGAAGCAAGCCCAGTCTGTGAACCAGCACTATGTGCAGGCCACCGCTGGACCAGGAACAGCCAGATCCCAGTCTCTCCCATGATCAGCTACACCATTCACATTCTAGGGGGAGAGAGAACAAGGCCACACCAGGAAGCAAGCCTACTCTGGGAACCAGTACCATGTGTGGGCTGCCGCAGGACCAGGAACAATCAGTCCCTTCTGGTGCACAAGAAGTACCATCCCAAAGACCCCCCACCTCACCCCAGCTGTAAGCAACTGGCTCATCCAGAGAAACACAGGCAGTGATGATAACTATCAAGGTGAAATGTAATTGGATGCCTGTGGTGCTCTGGTGTTTCACTAATATTACAGGTCTAGGCCAGAAGCCTAATTATGGTTTGGAGGACAGCAACACACAGTGTGACATCTAGGGGGTATGTCCTTCTGAGGGTTGCATCCATTGTTGAGTCCCTATGGTCTTGTTTTGAAGTCCTATATTGTTTCTATTGTTTTGTTGGGTTGGGTTTTATTCTCTTTTCTTTTGTTTTATCATGTCAAATCTGAAGGCAGGAGCAACTATTTCAAAGATAGCAAGATATATTATGGTAGCAATTTTGGATTTACTATAGGCTTGTTTTAAAGTCCTTTATTGCATTCATTGTTTTGTTTTTATCATTTCTATTCTATTCTGTTCTGTTTGAATTTTACTATGTCCAAAGTTATCTGCAGCTATTTTGAAGACATTAAAAGGCATTATGGTAACTATTGTTGATTTCATAATGTTTTGAAGTCCTGTATCTCTTACACTGGTTTGTTTTAATTGGTTTTATTCTGTTTTATCCTGTTTAAAATACATTTTTAAAAATTTTTCAAGGCAGTCTGATATTGAGGCAGTATCATGGCTATTGTTGGGGACTTTTAGCCAGGTTTATGTTGAAAATCCAGAGCAAAGGAGCCCAGCAGGATGACTCAAAATGCTGTAAGTTTGGTTAGAAAGCAAGCTTCAGTAAAGTTTCAGCCTGCAAAGATGGAACAGAGGATAAATTGGTCAATAAAAAGACTAGGAAGAAAAAAGTCAAGTATTTCAGAAAAACAAAGTAAAAATGGCC